CCTCCAAGTGTTCCTCTACTTCTTCTTCACCACAAAACACCAACCAATCACTCTCAAGCTCAAAAACTTACCACATGCTCTTAGGGTTTTGTTTTCAGAGTAAAGGGGGATGGAGGCTGATCATGAGTGTCCAAAAGATGTTATAATGAGGCTTAAATATGGCAAAGACCCTAAAAATTAGAGTTTTCATCTGGCTGGAGTACGCCCCGCGTACTCCCAGTACGCCCAGCATACTCCATAGGGTGCTCGCGATTCCTTCTGCCTAGTACGCCCAGTGTACTTCCTTGTACACCCTGCGCACAAGGCTTAGCCTTTAAACCACCAAACTTCCGGAGGCCATAACTTCTTCTTTCTAAATCCGATTTCGACCATCCTTATATCCACAGAAAGGTAACGAGAAGCTCTACACTTCCATCAACTCACCCTCACCTTAAAACTTCCTGAACTAAAATCCAATATTCATAAAATCCCGAACTACCATTTTACGGATATACCCTTGGACTCCAAATCACCAACCGGACTCCCGGATCATCTAACTTACATTACCCACACCCAAATGGGTCTAAATCTCCCTTTTCCAAAGGCCCTAAGCCTTATGATACCCGATCGTCGGGTTACCGCCCCGAATTAGGAAACGATTTGGAACGAGGAATCACAACTCTCCCCCACTTAAATTAGATTTTGACCTCGAAATCACTCCTTACCACTTTCCTGGAAAACAAAGCTCTGAACAAATCCTCCTCATGCTGAACAAGCCATTGATCTTTTAACTGCCGAACCGATACGCTACTGCTATAATTTTGAACCCTCATAACTTGCCTAACCTCCACACATGTAGAACCATTCTGAAGCACAATCACAAGGGCCTTTTCTACCATACGAACTGAAAACATCCTATTTGACCTTGAACCTTCCAACTGATATCCTGGGCATACAAATTCCCTGTTCCATAACTTGTTGAAGTAAAGATCCTGCATATACACACTAACGACTCCCAACGAGAGTTTGACCTCAAGCCAACTCGGTACATAACTCGTAACCTGAGATCCAAGGACTTGTACTTACATTTCACCCGAAATCTTCTGATTCACGACTATCTTTCACTAAAATCGTATATAAAAATCCCCAATCCACCCCTGAGACTGCCAGTCTCACACCTGGTCCAGCCACCAGGTTCCTGAAAGTCCAACTAATAAGGCTACTCCAGCCTAATCATTACTCTTATGCCGCTCACTGACCACATAGTCATCCCATTCTAACCATGATCTAATACCTTGACCCAACCAGTCCCTATCGGGTCTCATCCGGTCTATACCAACGAACATGCCACATCCATGGGTCTCACCTACTCTAGAGCTACTCAGGGAGATGCTCTGGACCCCAACGGCCCCCTCCCATAACAGGGAGATGCCATCCCACAATACTTCCCACTTTGCTCTAGGCACGAGTTGATCCTCCTTCATACCGATGACCACCCCACGATGGTCTAACCTTAATTCAGCAAAAACTACTATCCCAACGCAGATTTACAACATTTCCAAAACTGTCTATTATCTTGGTGAATGATACGACTACCTCGTAGTCTTACAACACTTCCATTGGTGCCACGACCCCCACCCATGGTCTTACTGTCCATATACTATACCGACCACATTCATCATGAGTCGATCTCGCATCCGACTATACCCAAATTATGTGTCCGGGTCATGCTTCGAACCCCAAAACCTTCATCAAACAAGAACAGGCAACGAGCCTCTAACACAAACCCCAACCTGGATCCATCCACATACCTACTAGACATCACAAAGAAGGCGACAACCAGCTGTTGGAAGCTTCCTGAACCCCTGGGCCGTAAACGCGTTTACAACCGTAAACCCCTGGGCCGTAAACCCGTTTACAACCGAGAACCCATTCCCGGCCGTAAACCCAACCAATATAAAGGTTTTTCCCAGAGAGATTCTTCATTTCTCACCTTTTTCACCCAAAAACTCTCTCAAGTTGCTCCCAAAAACCTCCCAAGAACATTCATATCCTCAAGAACAAACCTTCAAATCTTCATATGTTCACCAAGAACAACCTTCATATCTTCAAAGGCCGCAAACCCGTTTACAACCGCAAACTCGTTTACAACAGCAAACCTAGTTCACGGCCGCAAACCCTCTTTTTCCACTTCAAACAAGTCTCGGTAATATTCCTAACCCAAAAGCAATTGTTTTCTAACACTTTAATTAATGGTTTCGCTAATTTAAATACAATTATGTGTTTAATTATCATTAGGATACCTTTAATTCCGCGTACTCCAACTTGAGGGTCATCTTTCCGGTTTTGTTGTCGAGCACGTGCACATAATCAACTGTGAGTTCATACCCCTACACTTTTACTGTTTTTAACGTTTTCAGGGGGGATACAAGCAAAACACAAAGAAATTTTGTGTTCTTATATAAAGAATTTCAACATGATTAAAACTTATGTAATTGATACAACCAAGAGATCACTACATTTTATAAAATATTTAGATATTTTATCCCTTTAGTAACATGTTGAGCATAAGGGAAGTTTTCAACATACAACCATAATTGCAAAGTTTTCAGTACAATACATGAATCGAATACATAACATACATGCAAACTATAATAGGTATACTTTGGGATTCAACACACGGTTTTATCAATTCCAGAGCTTATACATTAACAAACATATAAACTATGATAGATATAGTTTATGGCATACAATACTATTTTATGAAAACAAGAATACAATACTAAATAATTATTTAAGTATAATTATTTTTACTCTACAAGTATAGATACAGTTTTAAGTAAAAGAGAACACTAAAACACTACACGTAAACTAGTTAATACAGGGTTGTGAGACACTACTTCAATTGTACCCTTCGGGGTGCGGAACTAAATCCTACCACAGTATAACCAGAGTCTCCTGGAGGGAGAGTGTGAAATTTGTGAATAGATCTATTCGGGACTGAAAATCTCACACCTAAACTGCTAGCTACAATTAGGCAGGCATGTCTGGGGTGACAAATGTCATAACATCCGACGCCTAAAGAACGTCGTAGAGGTCACTAGGTCATATCAAGCATGGTTATACCAAACTCACAACAGTATAAACTAACCATTTGTTTACGGGATATCAATTCTTCAAATAGTTTTATTTTCATTAATAGAACTATCATACACTACAACTGGAGGATTCCAGGGAATACAAATACATGGTTTTATTTTAAGTAATAAAACTACTATACATACTGGTGGTAGCCAGGGTTTTCATACAGAACACACTATACATACTGGTGGTAGCCAGGGTTTTCGTACAGAACACATTATACATTACTGGTGATAGCCAAGGTTTTCATACAAAGGTTTTCGTACAGAACACACTATATAATACAACTGGTGGTAACCAGGCATACAGACTAACATTTTCATATACTACTACAGGATACAGTAACAAACGTACTTTTTGGTCTTAGGGTTTAAGACTACTTTTCATTACTAAAGAAAATATTGGATTTTCTTGAGAACATGCAAAAAATTTACAGATTCACAGACAGGTTTTCATTTCAAAAACATACTTATGAACTCACCAGCTTAAATGCTGATACTCTTTCAAAACTGCTTGTATTCTCAGGGAACCGGTAGGCAGATACACCCGCAGGTTTTTGAGAAGACGAAGCTTTTATAGTCGCGTCTTTTATACTTTTGGTTATACATTTTGTTGTTATACAACCTATGTATCGGACAAATGAAAATTTTCTACTTATTCAATGTAAGGGTTGTGTTTGCTTTTATTACTATGATGCAATTGTTGTGATACTGTACATGACGTCCTCCACCCCCGAACGTTTCCGCCGTCTCAGTTTGGGGGTGTGACATATACTTCTGCAAATTATAATGTTGTATTGGATGTTATGAACTTTGAAGTTCAAGAGCAAAACGCAAATCTCCAAATCTGTGTTTTGCGAATTATTAGGGTTACAAACTAGTGATGATTATTCCAATTTGGAATTAGTCGATCATGTTATGATAATCAAATCTTATCATCATATGGGATATAAGGAAGATTTAATCATGCTTTCAAAGTTCAAGAAGTCGTTGTTACCACCGGTATGGAATGCCCTATTTACATTTTTGTTTCGTTGTTTTTCTAAGCGAATCACTGGCTCAGATAATGCAAACAAATTGTTTCATACTTTGCTCTATGCATTGTATTCTGGTGAGAATATTGACTTAGGTCAAATTTTATGGGTGCAATGTGAAAGCTTATTCATATAGATTATCTTTATGTCTGTTACAAGATTGATGAGTTGCCGTATTTCTATTGGACCTCAATTACATGATGATGGGTATGGTATTCAAGACTGACATGGGATTAGACATGTGTTCATGGTGGTTCATCTCTCTTGCCTTACCGGTATTTTCAAATTCAAAAATCGTCGGTTGAGTTTCTCTTACCTATAAATACCTATTTCAAAGCACACCTTAGATCTTTACGTTTTCAGACGATTCAAGTTCAACAGCAAAAGAAATTCTCTCTTCTTTTCTTCATCATCTGTGTGTTCGTCTTAATCACTAATGGAGTCTTTTGTCGATCATATCTCTTTAATGGATCGATCTGCATCATCTACTCATCTGGTGGTGAAGGCAAATTAGAATTTGATACGTGATGTTGATGAATCAAAGTATTTGACCGTTGTTCAACTGATTGTTGTATGTCTAAATCTCTCAATTCTCATAAAAGTCCTAACACATTATTCAGAGGTTCCTTTATCTACTCTAATTTTGGCTTATACTTCTGCAAATTATAATGATGTATTGGATATTATGAACTTTGAAGTTCAAGAGCACAAAACGCAAATCTCCAAATCTGTGTTTTGCAAATTATTAGGGTTACGAACTAATGATGATTATTCCAATTTGGAATTAGTCGATCATGTTATGATAATCAAAGCTTATCATCATATGGGATATAAGGAAGATTTAATCATGCTTTTAAAGTTCAAGAAGTCGTTGTTACCACTGGTATGGAATGCCCTATTTACATTTTTGTTTTGTTTTTTTTCTAAGCGAATCACTGGCTCGGATAATGCAAACAAATTGTTTCCTACTTTGCTCTATGCATTGTATTCTGGTGAGAATATTGACTTAGGTCAAATTTTATGGGTGCAATTTAGTCAAAGTATTTCTTCTTCAACAAAGAATTCAGAAATCTCTTGTGCGATATTTTGGTCAATTGTCGTGAGGAATGCTTGTGACCATTTCAAAGTTCCTATTATGGCTGATGCTCAGATGGCTACTTTCCCTGTGTTGAACACCACAACTTTTGTTTTGTTGACTACGAAAGACTTTCATTACATTGGAGCGATTCCTGAAGTTTTACTCAAAGAAGTCCCAAGTGAGAATGAAGTTATTTCTATTTACAGGAAAATTCGACAACAAGGTCCGAGACCCTTCTCTCCAACAATGCAAGATGATTTGGAATCTACGATTGCTCCAAGACGAACAAGTGGAAAGAGAAAGGGAAAAGTTGTTAAAGAGGTTGTTTCTCATAATCCCTATAAGAAACAGAAAAAGAAAAAGAAGAAGCAAATCTCTGTTGTTGATGAAGATGTCAAACTTACAACTGGTAATAATCGCAACAATGATATTGTTATGTTTGATGATACAACCAAGTCTTCTGATGCGAATGATCAGATGAACACTACCGTTCCGATTGCGACTACGATTCATGTTTAAACTCTTGTTGTTCAAACTGAGGAAGAGATATATCACAACATCATGCAAAAGCCCATTGTGAATCTTTCTCAATCACAATTACAATCACCTGTTGTTCCACATATCATTCCACCACCATCAACTTCTCCAATTCCATCCACCACTATTACTCCATCCACCACCATTCAGGTTCCACAAACAGTTCAAACTCCACTTGTTTCCACTATTTCCACTTCAACTCCATTACGTTCACCTATTTTCACTGAATCTACCACCACCACTACCACTACAACTCAACCTCCACCAATTCCAAATGAAGAATCTCAGCCTGAAGAGAATGATGTTTTTCATGTTTCGGATGATGATGAAGTTGCAGTTGCTGGATCCTTTCCATCTTTTCAAGAACCAGTTCTAGCAGACTCTTTGCTAGACGATGAAAGAGATCTTGATGATGAAACTACTACGGCTCCTGCTACTCGCAAAGACTATCAAATTTTGAATCGCAAGCTAAATGCTTTGGTTCATAGGGTTGATTCTTTCTCTCCTACAAATTTCAAAATATGATGCTCACTCATGAGAGCAATGTGAAAATGATTCTTAGTGAGAGTAAACGTTTGCTTGATGCTCAAGCCAAATTAGTTAAAGATGCTACTACAAAAGTTCAAACTGCTCTTTTTACATCCCATGAAGCCTTATCCAAAGTTGATTCAATCGTAAGTGAAGTAAAAGAACTTAAAACTTTCATTCTTGCAGCCAATACTGAGCATAATCAAGGTGTTATCAATTCCATTAACACTCTTGTTTCGCATTATGATAATGAAACCTATTAGGCTAATTAATTGACTGAGAAGGAATTAAAGCAAATAAAGAAAGAGTTTGAGAAGGTTGAAGAGGAATTGGTATTAACAAAAGGAAGAAACTTTGAGATAAATCAAAGGTTGGTTCGGATTGTGGAAAATAAGGATGCTCCTTATGTTGAATATAAATCACAGTTATTGGATGTTAAACTCGCCCCTATTCTTTCTCAAATCAAACCTGGTGTTACGAGTAGCGGTGCTACTTCGCAACAAGGGGAGATGAGATTAAGAATATTGTTGTTGAGGAACCAATTGCGAATGCTCAAAACGAACCCGTTTGTATCAAAAGTCCATATGTTGTTCCAAAAATGATAAAGAAAGTTGATGCTCCAAAGATTCAAATTGGGAGTAGATTAATGAAGAGAAATAGATGATAACATGTTTGATACACACAAGTTTTCTAAAGATGGTACGGGTTCCAGTTTTGTTCAGATTGTTGTTCCAAATTAAGTTGATCCAAACGACGTTGAAGCCGAGAAAGAGGAAGAAAAGAAAAGGGAAGAGGAGATTGAAAGATTGAAACAGTTGCAAATCGAGTCGGATAGAATCGATGCAGAGAAAAAAGATAGAGAAGAAACAAAAGCCACTCTTAGGGCTATACGGTCGGAATAGACTATGGAAAGAATCCAAGCTATGGCAATCAAGAAGGTTGAAAAATATTGGCTCGAACCAAATTCTTCGTATTTCATTTAGAACATAGTTGAATGTCAATTGGATTTGCCAATGTGTGGAAGAGCCTTTCTATTCAGAAGTTTTAATCATGTGGCAAAACTACCTCTTTCCAATAGTGTTGTGAACAAGAAGATTTGTGAATTTTATCTCAACAATTCACAACCACAATATGGCGTTTGGTCCTTGAAGCGAATTATGATGGTCAAGAAGATTGTTGAAGCTAATGTTGATGAATTAAAAAACTATAAATTCATGATTTTGAGGGGTGAAAACAAGGATCTTTTTGTTATCACACTTGTTGATCTTCCTATCATGAATCGTCATGATTGGATCATGCTTTATGGAATCTTGAAGAAACAAGAATCTAAATTCAGGTCACAACTTCTGCATGTTACTTGTATGATTAGGAATGACTGTATGTAGGAGAGTAATACAGATGTTGAGGTGTCAACCGACAATCTGAGGGAATGACAAATTCGAAGAATCCTTTGGGAATCATTTACAAGGCTCTAGAAGATAGAAAAGTATAGAACAAGATGTTATTCCTAGACAATAAACATTTTTACAATTTCCGATATATTGAATAACGTTCTCTCAAGTGAAAAAATGTGCAAGATGAACTCAAAGGAAGATTTAAAATGGGTTTCTGAAGTGATCAAGTAGTGGGTTAGAGTAAGACTTGTTCTTATGACTATTGTTGAAGAAGTTTTTAAAGATCAAGTTTGAAGACTCATTTTGCAACTCAATACAAAGGAGGAGATTGTTAGGATCGTATTTGATGTATTGTATTTGAGTTTTTAATGTGAAATGTTGTTCGCAACGATAGTCTGTTTTGTTGTTAATGTGAAAGGTATGTTGTGTTCGCATTGACTTTACTTGGGTTCACAGTTGTATAGTTTGACCTTAGAGCTCAACTGCTTTCTTTGTATGCTATATATAAGGGACATGTGTTGATAGTAGAGGGCAAGTTTTGAAGGAGTCTTACAACAAATTGTAATCGCATTCCTTTGCTCTCTAATGAAAACCAAGATCTTATTTACGCTTGTTGTGTTCTTTATTATTACATATTGATTCCGATTTCTTTCTTATTGAATCTAACGATCCAATAATGTGTTTCTCAAATAGGTGAAGATCTATAAACATCTTTGAATTTTGTTATTTGGAACTTACGGGAGTATTTTATTTCATAGGGTCTAACCGTCATTCTTGCATTTGAATATACAATTTTTTTAAGTTGACTTGGATATCAATTTCACCAAAATACAAGCATGAAAAGGCACGTTACATCATCCAATGACAATTTTGATGAAGCAGGTTTAACATCGTTTTCTTTCTATATCTCCCTCTTTATGTGTGTATGTGTGTGTGCGCAAATGCTTTCATAAGAGTTAAGATGAAAACCACGGTTAAAAAATACTATTTATAATTCGAAATCATAATCACTAATCAATTTTTCTACAAAAAAAAAATAACGATTAATTTAAAAAATGTACAACAAATGCTAGACATTCAAGGTAATAGCAAAATGAAGTTGGAACCACATTGAGTTACTGTTTCTTATAGTTTTCATAGTATATATCCAATTGCTTTACGTCACCATTAGAAAGTGCTATATCTCCGGTAAGCTTCCATCTTTTGAATTGCGGCTCGTTGGTCAAAATGAGAGCCATTAATTTGTCAATAGAACTGAATACTTCAAACTTTAAAGAAGCTTCTATGATTTCATAATCCTACAATGTTATAAGTCAGACAACATTTGATCAAAAATCGAAGACTTTCTTACTTATATCAAAAAAAAAAAAAAAACAAGACAATGTTGACACAAAAATTGGAAATATAACTCGTAATAAATATATTTTAAGAAAATAAAAATATATATATTTATCATATTAACATCAGTAAATCAAAATATCAATGCTTTTATAATAAACTCACCATAGATATATATGTAACTTGGAACATTTTGAAAAAAAAAATATATCAATTTTTGTGCAAGATAAACATAACCAAAATGGTGTTCTTTAGATTGTTGAGAACTAAAAAAAATCATCAAAAATTCCTCGTCAAACAGCATCAGCAAGAGTGTCCTTTACCCATCCAATTTTGCGTTTTCATTAACAATAAATAAAATTACAATCAAATCCTCATTTATTTTCTTTCTGTCTATTTAGTTTACTAAGAGCTATAACTGCAATAGAAGTGAAAACTAATATATTACTTTATTAGTAGTTCGAATTTATGAGAGATTAATGAAACCTCACATAACAAAAATAAATGTCAAATCATGGTAAAAATAAATACTTCATGTTATAATAATTACCAGATATATCACAATTTAAGAACTCAAAACCTTTCATTTATTCTAGAGATAATAATATACGTGATAAAACAAATGCATAAAGAAATCTAGATAAGATAACAAATTTAATTATCATGTTACTTCCGATCTTTATTACAATATGTATAAAGGCTTCAAATTTTATTTATCTTTCAAGTTCAGTGGATACTAATTATGAGAATCTGAAGAACAATATTGATTGTGTGTTTCTGTTGGTTTATTTGAATAGATATAGACACTACACATTTGGGTTTTTAGTTATACTTGCATAATTGTTTAATCATGTTATGCATATACATTTGGGTTTTTGATTATTTATTTTTAGACATGAGGGTAAAACCGTCATTTATTCCCGTTCGCTTCATTAGTCCCAAAAAAACATTTTCTTTATAGAACCAAACACATTATATATATATATATATATATATATATATATATATATATATATATATATATATATATATATATATATATATATATAGGAGTAGGATCAAATGAGAACACCTAAAAGGTTGAGAACGCGAGAACATATCTGGACCATCTATATATTCAAATCTAAGGCTATTATTAGACGGACTATTTTTGTAAATTTTAAAAGTAATGGTATTATAGTGTAACTTTTAAAAAGTCAAATGGGTATGATGGTAATTGCAACTTTAGCCAATTCCTATAATTTCTCAGACTCTCTCATATTTCCTTTAAAAATTCTCGTCCACCTCTTCGTCTTTCTTTCTCTCCATACCTAGGGTTAAGTCAATAGAGAACCGCCTCCATCAATTGTGCCTTCTTCTCGATCCAGCATCTCCGATTTCGACAAAAATGGCGGACTACCACTGCCATCATCATCGTTCCAAAGCACAACCACTACCACTACTGACCATCTTCGAACAACCAACGCCACCCAAGCACTGCCATTCATGTTCGTCAAACATATCGTCTACCTTCTCTGCCGCCCAGACAGATATTCAGAACCATCATTGACGTCCCATTTATTGTGTTTCTTTTGACTGTATTTTCTACCACCACCTCTGTTCATCTTCTTCTTATTTTGTTTTATGAAATTATGGTTTCGGTAACCACTGAATGTGTGCTACTAAGGATTTTCTCTCTGGATTATATGTTAATGAGGTTAATGAAGAATTTCGGATTTTGCTAACCTACAGGTACCACCGCCTCTGTTCATCATCTTCTTATTTTTGTTTTATGAAATTATGGTTTCGGTAACGATTGAATGTTGGCTACTAAGGATTTTCTGTATGGATTTTATGTCAATGAGGTTAATGAAGAATTTGGGGTTTTTCTAACCTACAGGTACCTATTTTTCTTAATTCTTATAATGTTTTTAGATTTTATTTTTGTGTGATATGCAGAGTAAAATATAAGTCATATCTTTTAAACATCTTAATTGGAGGTTCTAATTGGATCACCTGCTAGGTTTAAATGATTGTTATTGATCAATTCTCGTTTATTGAGTCTATAATATAGTTTAATATACTAAAACCAATTATTATAAAAGCTCTAAATTACAATTTTGAATTAATTTCAAGAAAATGGTAGGGACATTCTGGTCTTCAAGTTTCATTTAAGGTTTTTGAATCATGGTTTTAATATATGTGAATCTAGTTTTATTCATTTATGAATGTGACTATGTGAATATATCAATAAATATTCAGTTATAATCTTATATAAATACAATGTCATATGTCTCATTTGCATTTGCAGTTAATCATCAATGAATACTTCATGATTTTATACCTGAATGGTTTATGTTTTGAACAGATGTAATTTAGAGCTTGATGTTTGGAATAAGGATAACCGTAAAGCATGGAAATCGATAGCATAATCAAGGGCGTCCCTCTTCGTTTCTATATGTATGGTAGCAACAAGAAAATTGGAAGAAAAAACAATGATATAGGAATTCATTTATGATTCACTTATCTTCATTATGAATATAACTATTGAAAATATATGAATTTAGATGTATTTTGTATTCTGTTACTATGTATTCATGTATGGTCAGAATTTTATTCATTTATGATTGTAATCAGAGGTGTATTTACTTGTAATGAAATGATGAATTCTTAAACATCTTTCAATATAAATTCACGAACAAAAACAAAAGAAAAATCCAATCGTGACATTTTCATTTATGAATATGACACTATTTAATAAAATTAAATCATAAAATTAGTAACTTGTATATTTTTAGTCAGTTGTATACTCAATATAAATTAGTTTGATATTCATTTATGGATATGAATCACGTAAAGCAAGATAAAATTATTTGAAATTGATAAAATATTTTTTTAATCTTTCATTAAAGATATAACGAAAATAAATAAAAAAATCTTTTTTTAGTAACAGTCAATTAGAATCCCAAAAATTTAGGAAAATATCATTTTATTGTATTTTTTATAATTTAATTAAAATAAAAATTTATCTGCATGCCCTTATATATTGATTGGTTCAAAACTGTTCTAGCGTTCTCAACCTTTTAAGTGTTCTCATTTATATATATATATATATATATATATATATATATATATATATATCTCATTTATATATATAAATGAGATATATATATATATATATATATATATATATATATATATATATATATATTAAAAGAATGTTCCTTTTATAGTAAACTTGCATGTTTCTTGTCAACTTTGCCCCTTATTTTTTAGCCATTTTGACATTTTTAGTCATTGGAATCAAAATTTTTACATTTTTTAAGAACCTTTTAATATTCAAAGTTTGGCCACAAAACTTTAAGGAATTAACAACTTTGGTCCCTTTTCTAAAAACTTGCTAATTCCAACCCCTTTAATTCTTTAGCCATTTTGACAGTTTTGGTCCTTACTGTCAAAACTTTTACATTTTTTCATAAAAAACACAAAAAACGTTCCGGGGCGAGGTCCGGGTTTTTCCGCTAGTTAACATTAACGGGAAAGAAAAACCCTTAATCCGATAAGTTATATGCACACAAAAAAGAGTAAATTACATGAATAGTCCCTGTGATTTGGGGTAATTCGCACCTTTGGTCCCTAACTTATTTTTTTAACTCGGAAAGTCCCTCTATTTGTTTTTGTTGCGCGTTTGGTCCCTGAGTAAGATATGGAATCATAGTATTAATGATGTAGTAGAGGAGAAGCTAGTGGTAGTGGAAGCAGCTGTAAATGGCTTAATTGATGACTGAAGTGATTCAGGACCCTCTGCAACAATTCTCTTGCATACACCATCACAATTACTAATCACTTCAGTCAACCTTCCTTTTAGCTCACCAACTTCCACTTGTAACTCATGAACTGCATGTATTTTTTTTTTTTGTAACATTTGGTTTGTTAAGGTTAAAAGGGAATTTACGTTTTTTCAGTTATATAAAAAAAATAATTTGAATTGAATTTGAAAAGTAGAGAATACCTCCCGACAGGTGACTTGAAGTTGTTTTCATTGATGAGGAGAAATTATATGTTTGAAGAAGTTTTATTGCCAAAGCATTTACAATTTCTATTTTGTTTTCCAACTCTTCCTATAAAAATAAAAATAAAAATTCATTACATAAAAAGAACAAAAAGTTAGAAAAGGCCCCATTTGTTACTTATAACAAACCTGTCTTTTGTTAAGGGTGTGAGCCTGTTGTTCTTGCCATTTTTGATATGTTGTGTATAATTCCATTAGCACTTTAGGATCCACAATAACTGTTAACAAAAATCAAAGATCAATATAGAAGATTTGTCAACCAAAGTTATGTTGATGTAACAATAGTAAATACAACTATGATAGTAAGAATTATAACTCAAAGATTTAGGATTTCCTGACCAAATAAGATAATGAAGAAAATGCACCTGTATCTGAGGAAGTTGAGGGTCGATTGACCAAAATATCTGTCAAGCTGCTCTTTGAGGGTTCAGATGTCAATATGGAAGTCGCCTGTTTGAGAAATTCAAACATGTGAATAACAAGAAGCCGATTTAAAGCAAATAAAGACACATTTTGGTGTTGAACGTATTGAAATCGATGTAGTTTTGTCGATCTGAAAATCATATGATCTGATACAAACATGCGAGTTAAAAACCTAATCAAATGTTAATCAGAGACAAACTCACGATTTGGAGCGAGTTAAGCTTCTCCAGCACGGGATCGGAGCTTTCTAATCGCTCGGAGACAGTGGTGATTCCATCGTCCCCTTTCTTTACAGAAAACAAATTTACAGCGGTGAAATTTTTAAAAATTGAAAGATAATTGAAGTTGTAGTGAAATAGGTTGGAGAGTTGGGTTACCTGTGACCTTGAAAGAGTAGATTCCGATGAACCCATGACCAAATGCTTCCGTGAAGGTGAAGAAATAATACGAATACCTTATATTACTGCCAGTTAGGAGTTGCATTCCATTTCGTTGGCGGAGCTAGACTACGGTCGCGGGATTACGTCGGAGCTTGCCGGAAAATCACACAGTAGGTTTTACCTAGACGGTATATTCTCTTTTGAGGCTGTTAATAGGGACAATGTGATTGGGTTTCTGTTTTATTGGGCCGAAGGGTTAAATGGGTTACAAAGAAAGATAAAAATGACGTGCCATTTTTATAATAATTAAGTTTGTAATTGTTTGTATTGTACAGGTGAAATTGGTACAATATCGGTCATTCCGTCATTTTTATAATAATTAAGTTTGTAATTGTTTGTATTGTACGGGTGAAATTGGTACAATATCGGTCATTTTTTTATTAAACTGTGTATCATATTAATTATAATTTTTATAAAAAAAATTGTTAATGCTACTGTACTAAGTATTGGTATCAAAATGTTTGGCTACCAAAGTATTGGTATCAAAATGTTTGGCTACCAATAAGTTCGCTTGGTACATGTTGGTAATGGTATATACCAACATGTATAGGGTTTTGTGAATGACGATTTTCATGTTCTTAAGATTGTGAAACTTGAATCGGGGTTTTGTAAATGAGAGTTTTGTAATGGTTGAGATTGAAAATTAGATCCAAAAGGATTTTATTAATTTCTACCATGAGTTTATAAGTTAAAGCAATGGATGAAAATTGAACACGCCAACATGAGTTTACAACCTTAAACTTTACTAATACGGTAAATGTAAGAACCTCAAATTTAGAGTGAGTTAAGTTTTAGTCAACTAGTGACCAAATGGACAAAATGATCATTTATGAGAAATTAGAAGATTTATGAAGTTGTGACTTCATGAAAATGGTCAATATAAGTTTAAGTCGCTAAGATGAAATTAGACAAGTAAGTTCAAGAGAATAAATGCATGAGAATATGCATTTTGGCCAAAAGGGTAAAATTGAAAATTTTGCGTTTTTAGGTCAACTTTGTGACTTGATAGATGAAGACTTTTGTTAAGTCAATGAGAAATGACTTAACACATTTGTAGAGTATGTTCCCACCTTTATGTGGATATAAAGATAATAGAAAATAGGTATAGAACGAATGACTTATGAAGATTAGAAGTTGGGATGAAAGTTGTCTCCAAAGCTGGAATGGAATCAGCAATGAAGTATGTTGATCTACAGTCACCACGGCATGGCAAGATGCTCACCACGATGTGGTGAGGATAAATAGTGATTTAGACGAATTCATTCGTCATAAGTTGTAGGCAACGTACATTACACCACGACGTGGTGTATGGGCACCACAACATGGTGGACAAAGTAGGTTGCTATAGAAGAATGGTTGCCACGATGCGGAGAAGAGAAGACTGCGGGGTCATTTAGGCCACCAAGACATGGTGAACCCCTCACCACGACGTGGGGTCGGAACAGATTATACCCTTGATTAACATTCATTCTGCCAAAACACTCCATATTTCTTATAGAATGGAGCTCCAACGATTTGTAGGAAGGATAAGGATCAAGTGGCGCTCAAAGGTGTTAGAGGCAAGGATTAAACATCAAAAGCCCCTAAGGTAATCATCTTCTCCATTTTTAAGCTAATAGGGCTTTAATAGTGATTTATGAAATTGACCTAGAAACGAAAGATTACCCTTAGGATGCTTGTTATTAATGTTATTAAAAGTGTTTAGGATCTTTGAATAAGCTCTATATGTGATTTCCAAGGTGAAAATCTATATATGTGAAGTTAGGATTTGAAACCCTAACTAGTGGTAATATGAATTGATGCAATATATTATATTATAAAGAATTAGGTAGTATGGGATGCTTAATTCATTGTTTGGATTAGATTTAGAAGTAAAAAAATGAGAAGATAGAATATTGATCCATTAAGTAGTCATTTTGACATAAGAAGGTCATTAAGCTCTTAATAGGCTAAGATAAGTTTTGAAGACTTGATTATGTTCGATGAATAGGCCTTGAGCAAGAACATGGATCAATAATGCATCAATTGAAGAAAGGGGCCAAAGGGGTAGTTAGTCCTTACTAAATAACAAGGTAAGTTATATCACTCTCTTTCATTAGATTTTGTATGTACATATATATATATATATATATATATATATATATATATATATATATATATATGTGTGTGTGTGTGTGTGTGTGTGTTTGTGTGTATGCATGTGAATCTTGAGACACTAAGTGAATGTCATAAAGTCATTAGAAAGAGATATATTCTAATTATACGTTTAAAATCATATAGTTGAGTATGTACGTATAATTAGATCATATATTGGGTTATACATTCAAATCATGTATTTGAGCATGTATGTATAACTAGAGTATGTATAAGATGTGTAAGGAGATGTTAGGGGTATAATGAGTAATACCCACCAGATATAGACGAAGAAAGAATACAATTATATGTATTATAATCCTATTTACGACTATATACGTATGTTAGACATTAAAGGTATTGTGAAGAATACCTATATGTTATGATATACAGATGGAGATTAAGTACTCAATGAGTTAAGTACTAGATGAGAAGTAGAAGATCTCTTGATGAGATAAAGAGGTAGATTATCCATGGGACAAGTGTCATGTAATGAGTCATGTGAAACATTAATAGAAATGTAGTAAGATGATTCCTTCGGCAATGAGATTATGTCCCTGTGGGGAAAGAGATGATGATTCGTTCGGGAATGTTGATAAATGATTCATGCGAAATTAGATTGTATATGATGTGAAAAGATAAGAGTGAGAAAGGTTACATGTGTGGTTCAGTTTAATGGAGTTCTTTAAGGAACTTAGATATAATCTGTGAGTGATTAAGAGTAAGGAATTCGCTAGTGATTCAAAAGAATAAGCATGATTAAGGATCCACGGGGGATCATAAGAGATGGGAGTAAGTATGGATGAGTATAACTGGTAAATGTTAGTGGGATGATATTTCCCTTGGATGATATATGAGATTATAGTATGAGATTAGACTGTTGGTTCTAGTTAAGAATAAAATGGTGAGGCATGAGTATATGAGGATATAGAGATGAAGTGTAAGCAAAATATGTGATAAGCATGCTAAGAATAAGAGATGTGTGAGAAGAAGAGTAAGAATATGAGAAGAGAGCATACTTAGAGTATGAGAAGAACAAATAGAGAAAGATGAGATTAGATAGAGCATGGAAAAGGAAAAAAGAGAAGAAGTGAGTATAGCATGAGAATGGTAACGAAATAGAGGTAGAGCATGTAAAGAGTATGACATGAGCCTGAGAAGAGGCAAAGAAAGAGTATGAGAATAAGAGTAGAGGAGAAAGCAAGAGATATATAATATGAGAAAGATGGAGAATAGAGCAGAGTATGAGAAAAGAGGATAGAATGTAGAGTATGTGAAGATAGAGAAATATAAAGAGGAAGAGATTAGATTGTAGAGTATGAGAAGGAAAAGAGAATGAGGCTAAAGTATGGAAATATAGAAAGAGTTAGACGAAGAGTAGATGAACATGAAAATAGAAAGAATATAACTCACCATACATTGATGTATTATATTGTAGATATGTTTCATGTTTTGTAGGTTCAGGTAGCACCTGATGTACGTAAAGATATAGGAGCACAAGGGATTAGATTAGGAGTAGTTTTATTACTTGTATATTTCTTGTTGCCTTAATTTGGTTGTATGATTTTATTGTAAACTCGAATTATTTCCTGGGATGTAAAATGTTTTTTTATGAGTTAATAGAATTCCGTAAATTTTTAGAAATAACTATGATAATCCCTAGAATAGATAGATAATTAGATGATAGAGAATTTGGGTCGATACTATGTGTATCAGAGTCGTAGTTTAAGTGAATTAGGTTTTAGTATGTCCACACCTATACTTAAATTGTAGGATATGAAAGAGAACTGTAGATTATGAGCTGGTTTGTGATAAACCATGTTATGAGATCTAGGTACACGACTGTATATATATATATATATATATATATATATATATATATATATATATATATATATATATATATATATATATATATGCAGATAAAGAACTCGAGAGTATGAGTTTAATAGATTGATCAATCAAGAGGGTTTGGTTCTAGTATGTTGAGAAGAAGAAAAAAAAAGTCATTTTGTGACATGACATAAGAAAGGCTCTCTGGTTAAAGAGATGCCAAGATTATGTAGAAAGAATGATAATGTGACTATAATGAAAGAAAATTGTGTTATATATGATGTGTCCTTATGAAGAGGAGATAATGAAGATTAAAGAATGGGGACAAAAATAGGGATATAAAGAGATATAGATAGAAATGTGAATAAAGAATGGAAAGAAAGGGAACAAAAATAGAAGAAGGAGTTAATAGGGTTGGTATGCCTAAAGAAAGAAAATAAAGATAGAGAAAGTCTATCCTAGTGTTTTGGTCAAAAATCAACCAAATTGTATGAGGGGTTGTGGTGTTGTGATCAAAATCAATATGCTAATGAAGTGTAAATGACACAAGCGAGTCTACAAGGAAAGCCCTTGATAATTGCTAGGATCTTCGGCATAAAACCTTGGGAGGTGATAATGATCACTTTCCTTGTTATGTTTATTAATTTCAAAGTAGGTTTACAGTGATAATGAAGATAATACGAGTACAAGTGAAATAATAGAGCTTTTCATGTATGTAGTGTGTGATTTACATGTGTTATTTATAGTCTAGGCTAAATTGATGAGTTTTGAGCACTATAACACTCCTATGGTGCACATGCAACCCTAGATGCTTTGGATCTAAGTTTTCTCTAATTATACATCCAATTTCAATTTTCCAAAGCACATATCCTAACTAGCATACAATTTGACAATTGAACAATACAACTAGTTAGAAACTTTACCTCTTGTTGTAGCTAGTTAACTTTGGCCTTTTAAAAGCTTAGCACCTCAAATGTGATGCCTCAAATGCTTCACAAAACACCACCAACAATGGAGGACTTGAGAGAGAGTATCTTGCACAAAAATCGGCTCCTATGAACTCTTAGAACATATGTGTTCACCGATTTTAGCTATAGGGTGACATATATATATATATATATATATATATATATATATATATATATATATTGTAGGATTCTAAGAGTCATGGTTAAACCCTAATCCA